CTAGGAGGGGCACATGAAAAAAATATGAAAAAGTGAAAAGAATTAGAAACGAAAAGGAAAGAAAGAAGGAAAAAAAGGAGAAAATTGGTATACATTTTTTTGGAGTAAAGGATTATTTTTTCCTTCAAATTAAAGCAAAATTGGGTGCTTTCTGAAATAAGTCATTTAGGATTTTCTATTTCTATCCTATCATAGTGAGATGACAGGGTTTAAAATAATTTTTTTTTGTATTTTGTGAAGCTTGTACTTGTCCCTTCTGTTATTAGATTCAGCAAACAGTAGCATGGATAAAAATTGAAATTAAATATAAAATATTGTCAGGTTTGTAGTTCATCCTCAAGCTTGTAGGATGTTTTTTCTACTTTTAGTTTTGGCAAAACTGAAGATTTGAGCTTTTTGATCTTTACAGGCATTAACAATACATCCTTTACTTTCCCTGTATTAAAAATAAGTATTGGCTATTCGTGATACAAAACTCATATCTATACATCTTATACCTCCAGTTTTTTTTGTTTTAATGCAAATATAGCTTCTCAAAAACCTAATTCAATGTGATGAGTAAAAAATCTAGTCATTCATTTTTACCCTTTTTGAGTTTTTCAGGTCAAAAGAATGTTTCGCCTGCGGCGCGCCTCTTTTGTGTTCCTCTATTCAATCATAACGAATTTTATAAAGTTATTGAGTGGAATTTTCAATATGTTAACACATAAATCTTATTTTCTCATAGTTTTGTGCGTAAAAACTAGATGATCTGTGAGGTGACAAAGTCGTATCAGTAATATGTTACCAAATAAATCTGATTTTCTCATACTTCTGTGCGTAAAAACTAGATGATCTGTGAGGTGACACAGTCGTATCAGTAATGTTGCATAAAGGAAATGAGTTTTTGCCACAAGCTCAAAACTAAAATCCCCATATTCATATGCAACCCAATGTTGTAGATCTTTAATATTTCAAACTATGAGCCAAAGTTTGAAATATCAAAGGTTTATACCATCAGGTTTAAAAGAAAACGGGATTAGAAAATTTGAGTTTGTGGCAAAAGCTCCGTTCCTTAGCCCTTCTAATTTTGCCAGTACGAAGTATTGTGAAATCTCCTCTCTTAGGTTTCACTGCTGGCAAAATAATTTAAAGAATATTATTCAAATAAATATGTTATTAACAATAAAGATTTTTCTAGACATATTGTAGTAAAACTTGGGGCCTAATTCGTTCACATAATAACTGCGCAAATTCATAACTACGCAAATCCTGTAATACGATAAACCCATTACATGTTCGTAGGTAGATATAACTTCGTAATACCCATAAATTATTTAAGTTTATTTAGCACACAAAAAATGGTACAATAAATTAAGACAATGACATAAATTAAACAAGGAACATAAGTAAATATGGAATATCACTTGTTAGTCAGTACATTGAAAACAAATTATATCATTAAATATGATAGTTAAAATCGTAAACAGAGAAATTGTTTGATCTTAGATCTAGTAGTTCATAATTGAGAGACATTTTCAAATTCTGATCATCTGGTAATTTTGAATACGTTAAATTTTGTTTAACAAAAATTTTAGACAAATTGTTGCACTAACACATTACAATCATCTGCAATTGCAGATTTTTACATAAAACTGTTCGTTGATCATTTTTAAACAAATTATAAAGTAAATCTTAACTTATTTGTGCTGCTCATTCTTTCAGAAAAGGCAACAAATCTGCTCGATAATAAAGTTTTAATGTGCAAGCATCTAGAAATAGGCTCAATAAGGTATACTATGAGTATTTCGGGGAATATTAAAGGGAGTGACCGGCTATGTAAGGTAGTTGAACTGAGTATGCAGTGTTGTGGAAAACTTCTTTCGGATTTTAAAGATCTGTAAATCCTGAGTTTGAGCGCAAATTTGACGTTCAAAACTCCTACTTTGGGGGTGGATACGTTTTCAGAATTAGTTTTTTTAAATTATTAAATACCGAAGACATAAAATGTAATAAAAGTTCTACAATAAACTACAGACGTCATGTATAGGAACATGTTGAGAAAATAAAAATTAACCTTATCATCAAAAATAAGTAATCTTGTTCAATTATTAGTTTCTATTTTCTCATTATTCTGGTTCCTCATTATTCACAAAGTTCTTCGCAGATTTTCTAGAATTATTATTGAAAAGACGACATTTGAAGAATTTGAAATCTGCGAAGAAATTCAAAGAAAAAAAGAAATTCAATATAATAATGAAAACGAAATAATCGATTTTAGCATTGATTTTTTGACAAATTTCTTTTGAGAAATATGTTCCTAACCATCAAATTAGATTACTGTATAATTTTTACTTTATTTTTCGTTGTCGATACTTATTAATTAAAAAAAAACTAATTCTGAAAACGTATCCACCCCCAAAGTAGGAGTTTTGAACGTCGAATTTGTGCTTAAACTCAGGATTTACAGATCTTCAAAAAGTTTAATATGTCTCAAATGAATCCGAAAGACTTTTTTACTCTACAGAGGTTTGGTCCATCACCATCACCGAGTTTTTAAGTTTTCCACAACACTCCATACTCAGTTCAACTACCATACATAGCCGGTCACTCCCTTTAAATAAAATTCGAATGGAAACATTCCATGAATTATTTAATTTTAAAACATTGCTACTCTGAACGTCCCATAATTGGGATCCGTAGAAATCACAAGCATAAATAATAATAAAAATAAATGATTAAATGCTATATAAGTAGTAACCGCTCATAATTTGTAATTACGCTAACCAAAATCAAATATGAACTACGAAATTTAGATCAGTTGACTTACAGACTCTGCTTTTGATTTCATTATCAGAAGCCTAAGTAAGCTTGAAACCAAGCTTTGGTACTCGTTGAAACGAGTGGAGAAAATGCCTGTGTAGTCAGTCGGACTGTGTGTCCTTTAGAACTGGGGAGTTAAGCCTGGTTGAGATTTGGACTGTGTGTCCTTTAGAACTGGGGAGTTAAGCCTGGTTGAGATTTGGACTGTGTGTCCTTTAGAACTGGGGAGTTAAGCTGGTTGAGATTTAGACTGTTTGTCCTTTAGAACTGGGGAGTTAAGCCTGGTTGAGATTTGGACTGTGTGTCCTTTAGAACTGGGGAGTTAAGCCTTGTTGAGATTTGGACTGCATGTCCTTTAGAACGGGAAGTTAAGCCTGGTTGAGATTTGGACTGTGTGCCCTTTAGAACTGGGGAGTTAAGCCTGGTTGAGATTTGGACTGTGTGTCCTTTAGAACTGTGTGTCCAGGGAATAGGAATAAGAGGAAAAGAAATGGCGCTGGTCTGGCATGAGAAAGCCAGTCGCACTGCACTGCACGGTAAACCTTACACACACTCTTTTGGTACAGACACACAACATGACTACAGTCAAGGAAATTGCAGAACAATGTTGTCAATTATAATTAAGCTTGAATAACGACTAGTTTATTGTAAACTTTAATAAAATTATATTCTTTGCATGAAAATTTGGCTCATAGTGTTGACTTAAATATAAAAATACTACATGTATATTAAACTTTTTTTTAAGTAAACAATTAATAATAAACATAAGTACTCCCCTAGACTGTACAAATACCGAGATTCGTATGTACTGTATATACCTTCAGTACACGCCATCGGTTCGGTAAACTTTACATGCACTTTTTTGGTACAGACCTACACATGACGTTTCCGCCCCCTGGTTAAGCCTGGTTGAGATTTGGACTGTGTGTCCTTGATAATCAGACAGTAAGTCCCGTTTTAGTTTGTTAACGAGTAGACCAGAATAGGTACGTCCCGAGTAAATTGTTATGGAGTAGGCGTTTACTACAATATTATAATTTTTTTAGATGTTTTTTTTTTAAATTAGAAACATTTAAATATGTATAATATATAAACTTTGCTTGTCTGTTTTTATCCAATAAACGTCAAAAAGGCTCAACCGATCGAACCTAAACTGTGACAGCTCATATGACCCCAGGAAAGGTTTATGGCATGGTTATAGATGAAAACTTTCAACCTTTCTTCATTGAAAATGCCAAAACTTAAAAAGAAAAATCTGCAAGATACGATTTACAAAAAAAATTGCTCATGGAAGAGCAAAGGTTAAAAGATGAAATATTTATTATAAAAAAGGGGGCAAAAAAGAATATTCTATTATATTTTTATTCAAGTCTCTGCTTTATAAACAAAAACTCTAAAACTGAAATGAAAAATGTGGTTGAACGTAAATAGTTTTAAAATTCTTTTCTTTACAAACTCTCCCCACTTTATTTAGAATCTCATTTCCCGCTTTCAAGAGAAAATAAACTATTTTACTTTTTTTCCAGCAACGAGGTTGCATATAAAACAAGATAGGATATATTTAGACGTTTGTAACTTACAATTTAGCTTCTTTCCGCTTTTATATATTACTGCTTGAATATGTTTTTTTTGGTCATAATGTTCATTTCTCTTTTTTAATTATTCATTTAAATCCAACAACAATAAACAAAATAATTTAAAAAGATAGTTACATTTTCCCAGTTGTGTAATAATTTGTAAGATTTGATGCAAATTTTACTGATTGTACCGTCGTAAGCGGGGGCATCCCCCTCTTTAATTGTACCGTCGTAAGTCGGGGGCATCCACCTCTTTAATTGTAGAGTCTTATTTGTCATTACAACGATGTACAGTCCCTTTAAATGTGGTTTCCTTAGCAACAGCTTAAACAATTTCTCTTTCACACTTTCTGTATTTGCTCTTTCTTAATAATAATAAAATATCTTGGTTGATTTATATTATATTATAGATATATTTCTAAATTTATTTTTCATAGATAAATATTTTACATTTAAATACATCACAGTGATCAGAAAGAATTTTAAACAGTTTTAAAACTGCATTTTTTGAAAAAATATAAAGCCAAACATGATTTTTTATTTGTCATTAATTAGTTGAGATCGATCGACTCGAAAACATTAAAAAATCTTAAATTTTAAAATATTAACAAGAAAATTTTGAATTATCATTTTGGTTAAATCAGAAGATTTAATACTTATAACAATAGTTTTACAAGATAGTTACAGTTTATCTACGATATATTAATATACAGGAAGTACTCACCAACAAATTTGGGGTCTAAAAACCAATTTTTTTTACTTGATTTGAACTAAAATTTGTTTTTTCATAATGTAAGAATGGGTTCAACCCATTTTCTTTACTTTAAAAACTCTTTGTAAAAAAATCGTACGTTTTATTTGTAAGTTTTACTGTGGGATTAAATTTTAGCTATGAACTCCAGTTTTGCTCTGATTCTTGTAGATTAAGAAATTAAGCATGATCCCTTTCTCCGGGTGTCCTCCGAGAGCTGCTTCTTTCGACGCGGAGCTTTTGTCCCAAGTTTGTCTGAGCTATCCTTCCTACCAAACACAGGTACCTAAAACACAAAAAAAGTTATTTTTTCAAATCATTTTTTCAAAGTACACTTTTAAAACTTAACATAATAGATTATTCGACGGTGAAATGTGTTGCAACTTTTTAAAAAATCTACGAAATTTTTTTTGACGTTATTGGTATTTATTAAAGATGATGTGTTTATTTCAATTAATATTTGAGTTTAATTATGAAAAGAATGAATTTGCAATGACGTAAAATCTTAGAAAATTGTCTCTGATCTGACTAGACCCTGTACCTTTGATAGATATTATAATGGATAGAGGAGATGGAGGGGGGGGGGTAATGGAAACATGAAAATTGGATTGAGATTATATTGAGAATGAATAGATCTCAGGTAGATTAATTTTCAGACTATATGGTAACTTCCAAAACTTCTAATAAAACATTGACTTTCATTGCTGTACAAGTGATTCATATAAAAAAACAGAAAAAAAAAAACAATAAAAAAAGGAAAAAATTATTCAGCTAAGTGTATTGTTAATTTGTCTTCAAAATATATATAAATGTGTTGTGCCCTGTAAAAATATTTTCTCTATTTGTATCGAAATGATAAAATTTTAACTTTGTTATGATTTTTTTCTTGAATGTTTCGTATTTTTTGTAATTTCTAAGATACCTGAGGCATTGATGATCTTCTTTTAAGATCGGCCATTGAGGATTTGACAAAACTCGGAATCTTGTTAAGTTTATCTGCTTGGTGCAGAAGCTCCTTAACAAAAATTATCATTAATATTTATATTTTACAGCAAAACTATTATCTTTACTTCATCCCCTATAAAATACGAATAGTTTCTTACTGTGACAATTTTTTTCGCTATTTTCATTAAGATTACATTCTTGGATTATTTCATCTTAAAAGTTAGATTTGCCCTCAAATAAAAATTTATTTTATTCTGTTTTTGCTTAAAGAAGTTTTTTAATGGTTTAACAAATTTTATTTGTGCATCAAATCAATCTAATTTTTTAATGTCGGTTAAACACTTTAATCTGTACTTCTTATATACATTTCTTATAATAATCTTATTGCTTTTGATAAGGTTGGAACTGCTGAAATTCTTTGAAATTGATGCAAAAAATCTTGTTAAATAACATCAAATCTGTAACTGACGTACAAATTAGAATACTATCACTGATACAATTCTTATGAAATTTTTTTCATTTTTGTGAAAAAAATACATGATTTTTTATCAAACTTGTTATTTTCATACCTTAAAAATGTGCAAAACATTTGTGTTACTAAGGGCGGAACATTCAACAAAACCATGGTTCCAGTCCAAAAGTACAGTTGCCTAAATATTTAGATGTTATTAAAAGTTATATTTAATGATGTTCTCAATATTTCTCAAATTATCTACCTACAGTGTTCGAGGGAATATCAAACATCTTGTAATATATCTTTAGCAAAATTTTAAATAATTCTCTCAACAACTTTTATTGAGTTATGTCAACTTGTCAAGCTAAAGATTTGTTAAAGACCCCTATCTATATATATACTTTGCTTGTCTGTCTGGGTGTCTGCTTGTTTTTTTTTTTTTGTTTTTTTGTATCCAATAAACGTCAAAACGGCTGAACCGATCAGGCCCAATTTTTTGTGGGACCTCATGTGACCCTAGGAAAGGTTTATGGATGATCGAATTTTCAAAAATTTATCTCTAACAAAATTCAATTTTTGAAAATTTGGTAAATAAACGACATTTTTTGAAATCCGCAATTTTTTTATGTTAAGAGAAAATGTTCACAATTGTAATAGAAGATGGGCGCGAAGCGTACTTAAAGCCTAGTTCTGTTATAAGTTTTTTTTTTTGATAGTACGAACAAAATATTATATATCTACCTGAAGCTCCTCTCTGTAAAGCTGTGGACCCAGATCACACTTGTTTCCAACCACAACCACAGGGATATCGTCGCCACGAAGCGCCACTATTCTGTTCCGTAAATCCACAATTTCCTAAAGTGAAGGAAAAAACTTAGAATGGAATTTTTTTGTAAACATGAAATTAAAGTTCGTAAACATGGAATTTCAATTTTAAATCTGGAAAATATATTTTTGATAAAATACCTCGAAAGTCTCTGGCTCTGCTGCTGAGTAGACGAGAACAAAACCGTCTGCAGCTTTTAGAGAAATATCCGCCATTGTTCTAAACTCCTGAATATAGTTTCCACCAGTATCCTCAACGTTTAAAGCTATTTGTGCTGATCCCAGGTCAAACTCTCCTCTATACATCTCATCAACTGTCTCACTGCAAAAATTATGGATTATAATTTTAATTGTAAAAACTTAAATAAATTTCTATTGACCTTTAAAAAAAATGAAAAAAATGGCATGTTTTATTCACAACAGTATACTCCTTTGACTAATAACAAATGGGGTTGTTTATCACTTTAATTGTGGTTCTTTTTAAAACTGAATTGCGGATTTATGCTAAATTCAACACTTTTTCGGGCATTAAACTTGGATAGCTTCCTCTTTGTTGATGAAAGAAAGGTTCAAGACGGCATCGCATGGGCAACTGTAGTACATTTGAATTACCGAGCCAGGTCAACCTTTCAAATTCCAGTTTGTACTGTGCCCAGCTCTATGGACAGAACTAGCCTGTGCTACAAGGTTCACTTTATGCTTCATTTAGGTTGAATTTACTTTTACTAAAGGGGCAGAGATGCGTGATCGCTTTAAATCGGACTTCAAGTCACTTTAAATGGAGGATCAATTATAATTACGTTTTATAGTCTTATTATAGAACAAAAGATAAAAATGTTCTTACATGTGTTCTGTGATGAAGGAATCATAGAGAAACTGAGAGATAATGGCGGTCTTCCCCGATCCCGTTGCTCCTAACAATGTGTTTCTTTAGCTGCCATGGTGTATATGATGTAAAATGTAAATCTATGATATAGTCTCAGAAAACTTTAATAGACTTTCAGAAAACTTTAATAGACTCTTAGAAAACTTTAATAGACTCTTAGAAAACTGTAATAGACTCTTAGAAAACTTTAAAAGACTCTTAGAAAACTTTAATAGACTCTTAGAAAACTTTAATAGACTCTTAGAAAACTTTAATAGACTTTCAGAAAACTTTAATAGACTTTCAGAAAACTTTAATAGACTCTTAGAAAAAAGATGATACTATATATATATATATATTACTATAGTAGACATAAAGTTCAATTTTTTAATTTAATTTAAGACAAACCTAGTACAAGTATTCTAAACTCCAGTTTATTTCCTTCTTTTCTTGATTTATCATTTCCTTCATCTCTATCTTCTCCTCGTCCCAGTCCACTGTCATTACTGTCAGTACTCGTGCTCGACAGGAAACGTCTAAATCAAATCTGATGAAATACAATGCGGCATTTTTTCAAAATTGGGATTATAAGTGTTAAATATTCTTTTAATTATATTAATTCAACATCAATTCAAGACTAATAAAATAAATTCTATTTTCGAAAATGAATAGAGACATTATTGTACTTTGTTAAAAAATATTAACTTTCAGAAGTTTTGATAAACTTTGATATAAATATTTGAAAATGGCCGCAGTTTGAAAATGACTGCATTACAAACTTTTATGACGGGATTTGAAAAAATCATTTGATACTAATTTAACTGTTCACAGTGAGGGGACAAGAACAATAACAAAATTAAAATAGACGTTTACAGAGTAGACTAGACATGTTGACCCACCTATAGTTAGAAGAACATCCGCTGTCGGTCGAGTCTGTGCTGCTGTCCTTCAAGGATTGTTTAGGCACTTCAGAATCTCCTCCAAGAAGATGGGTGGAAGAAAACTGGCGCATCCGTCGCACAAGCTTTTCACGTTTTCGTCTAGCGTAGATAAACATTGTATGATGTATTAGGCTAAACTAGGTTACGTACTCTATGTTTTTTTAATCCTCGAAATAATTACTTCTTGAAAAAACAGGCTTTGTTTTATTTTCTGTAAAGTAGTTGAACCACGTAAGATAAGTTGAACCGCTGCTCTTGAACTTTAACCAGTGCACAAGAGAAGTGGTTAAACTAAGTCTCAATATTTATTTAATTTAATTCTGGTTGCTTTTAAATTCTAAACCATTATTTAATTAGTCCTGAATAATGACTCCTGACTGAATAAATTAATTTTGGGATTGGAGACTGATGTTAGCCATAGGGCGTTTCTAAAAGTCAGATTTGTTTTGTTTTGTTAAAAAAATTACAGACTTGGAAAGAGGGTCTTTTTTTAATTTTGAAAAATGTCTGAATTACCTGATATGAATATTAAGTGAAGGGGATCCTTGATTTGATGGAGCTGGAATTTCCTCGGTAAAAACGCTGTCTAAACCTTCCATCCTAAAAAATAAGATATATTTTTTTTTATGTCAGAATTATATTCCTATTTTTGTCCTTTGAAATTTTTAACTGTTTTTTTGCAATATTATAAGCCATCTAATTCTAAACCCTGTTTGAAATTAAACATGTTGTGTGTCAAAAGTGTATTGCCTCTCTTCATGTTCAATACGTTTAAGAAAAATGTATTCAAATGTACGAAACAATTGCTACAAATCTCTAGATTTTTACTTTTCAGAGTTTTGTTTTCAATCTATTCTTCAAGTTGCCTTCAGCCGTTTAAAATTTTTTTTTTAATTTTTACCTAAATCGAATATTTCTCATGCAGCTGTAATCAGTAAGCTGAAAATTCTTATGATAACTTTTCACTAAAGTACAATATAAGATATTTATAAAGATATTTAGTTGTTGTCAAAGTAAGGTGATGTTCCTTACTATGCGGTCTAGACTACAGTTTTGCCTTTTATCAGTGAGAGAACCACGTTGTGAGGAGACCAAGGGGAGACCAGAAGGGATACATCCAGAGAGAAATATCGTTGCATACAGACCAAAGAGAAGAATTTGTTGCAGATAGACCATAGCTACGGTTGTAGACTGATCAAAGAGAAGAATTTGTTGCAGATAGACCAAAGTAAGAGTAGGGTAGCAAAAGTAAGGTAGGGGGCACAGGGGAACGTGCCCCCTTATTTTGTCCGAAGGGGGGGGGGTACCTGGGGGAACAATATCTGAGATAAAAAGGTTTAGGAGAAGCTGTACGTATATTGTTCAACTATTTGATAAGTTATAAATCTAGTTTTTAATGTTGAGTCATTAATTTTGACCCTTTTTCAGGTCAAAAAATACTAGGGCAGAATATTGTTGCAGTCTGACCAAAGAGAAAATATGGTTGCAAGCAGACCCAAGAGAAAAGAATATGGTTTCAGACAGACCCAAGAGAAGAGAATATGGTTGCAGATAGACCAAAGAGAGAAGAATTTGTGTCGCAGGAAGAACGGGAAGACTGCAAAGAAACTGCGTGTCGTGAAAAACAAATTATTGGTTTTCCTAATTACACTAACACAATCTTATTCAAATTGCCCCACCGGACTTAAATTTGCCCCCTTTTTTTAATATTTCCCTTAGTTTTTTTTAATACACCAAAATATTTCTAATTTGCACCTCAACTAAATTTGTTATCCTTAAATGTTTTTTAAATGCACCCAAATCTAACATTTTCAGCTCAGAGTGCCCCTAATTTATTTTGAATAATGCCCCAAAATTAAGAAGTTTTGCCCCCTAACAAAAAAATGCCCCTTCATATATTTTGAAAATGCCCCATAACAAAAATATATGCCCCCAAAATAAATATTTCAAAGAAGCAAAATTGCCCCAAACGGAAAAAATGGCCCCCACAAATAAAATTTGCCACTAAAATAAAGATTAAAGATTTTTTCCACACAAATTGATAAATTTACAAAATAAAAATTATTGACTTCCCCCAGCTGAAAAAGTAACCCGCCCCCCCCCGCCCGAAAAAAGTTGCCCCTAAAATAAATATTTTAGATTTTTACCAAACAAGTTTTCCCAAAACTGAAATTATCAATAAAATTCATGAATCTAAATTTTCAAATCATGGAAATGTTCCAACAATTTTTTTTAAATCCGCGAATTTTTAAGAGAAAATTCGGTAAACTCAAAGTTTCCCAGCCCCTTTCTCCGAGATGGAGGCTAACTTTGTTCTCTCTCAGAAGTGTACAAACTTACTTATGGATGATGAAAAGGACAAGAGGCTGGTGACCTACAGGTGTGTTTGTGTGCAAGCTTTGAAAGTGTACCCTTGAACACATATCTGTTCAATATTGCTAGCCTATTTACAGATGAATAATGATTTATATATGCAAATTCTTAGTCAAGTTTCAGTTGTACAACGTTTAAAAATGTTTTGATTTTGATATGTTTTGTAGGTTGATAAGTTTTGTAGTTTCACCCTATTAGGCAGAGGTGCGCGTGTCTGATAATCTCTGCAAGCCCTGAAAAGGGGGGCGGGGGTGGGGGATTCACAGATAGTCTTTAAATTTAGCCCAGTTGTAAAAACTGCTTAATAACAATCAATAAATTCGATACATTATTTTCAGAATTTTCTCTGGCAGAAAAATAATTTTAAATGCAATTTTATAGCCACTGGTGCGGCATTTAAATCCATTCTTTAATACTAAGTTAAAAGGACTAGTTACTCCCTCTCTGTTCTGTTGCGCCCCAATTTTTTCCAGGGGGCGTTCCCTCATCTCCCCACCCCTTAATCCGCCTCTGTCCCCCTTCCCCATATCCCACGAGGTTGGTGCATTTTTCGACCAACGCAAATCCGCTATACTTCCCTTCTGACCTACAACAAATCTGCTCGGCCCAGAAGTTGTCTTAACCTAACCTAGCCCTCAAATGATACAAAATAAACAGCTGGCGTATGTGCGATATTGCAGGAGGTCGGAAAGTTAATAGGGCAGAAGTTCAGTAGGGGGGGTGCCCATGTCTGTTGCGTATAGACGATGTAACACTACCCACGGCCACACAAGCCACTGGTAAAGCAGGTATAAAGTGTATTGAATCTTTTTTAATGTTGTAGAAAGCCTTATCATTAAAGTTACTTTTATGTCGTCTTTTCTTCAAATCTTTTAATTTCCAACCAAACCAAATATAATCATTGAGCCCGAATCTGAGAAAAGGCAGCTGCAGCTGTCCTGTCTTGTCAAAACCAAAAGATGCTGAGTAAATCAATATTAAATCGTAAATCAAATAATAATAATATGTTGACAAGTAAATCAATAATTTATAGATTTAGTACGTCAGTAACTCGCTTGCTGCATCAGAATGGATTTTTAACCGCTCAATTTCGCCGTAAATTGGGGTCCGTCCTAGAGAACGATTGGCCTCTGTCCTATTGAACGATTTTTTCCTCCTATCAATGTTATACATGACCAAGTTAGTAATTATTTAGCACTATTTAGGATTAGGTTAGGTCAAGCCAAATTGTTGATTCGTTTAGATTTTCACATTAAGATGGTGCATGTAAAGTTTCACCCTTCTATCGTAATTTATAGGACCAAATACAGCCTGAACAAAACTTTGTTTCAAAAAGTGTAAAATTTACCCCAATTAAAAAAATCTAAAGTTTGGGGAAAATGTCGAAATTGAGTGTTTTTCGCCACCAAAACTCAATGTGTGCCTCCATGTATTAACCAACCTTAATTTGTTTGTTTTTCTCTTTCAGATTTAATTCTATTGATTGAGAGGATTAGTTTAGATTTGATCGCAGGTAAATAATTGTTCGTTACAACTACTAAATTTTACTGAATGTTATGATAAAATTTTAGGTATTTCTAGAGATCTGTGGAGACGTATTTGAGATTATATTATTAATATATATTTGCAGGGTTTGGATTCTTCAACTTTTAGTGGTTAATTCTGTTTAATATTTTGGTTGGTAGGTTAGACGTAGTTTCCTTGCAGAGCTGAGCTATATACACTATGGAGATAGATAAGTCACAGGTAATTCTAATCTTTTCCAGTTTTAGGAGATATTTTCAGGGGTCTTGTTGAATATTTGGTTACAGGCTCATTTTTCTAATGGTGATCTTATAGGATATCTGATATGAGGACAACCTAATGCTGAGGTTATTGTGTTCAGAAGTGCATAGGCAAAGCGGCTTACGGCATTTTTCGGGAGAAGGTCCCCTCTTCCCACCCTTTAGCTGCCATTGAAGGAAGAGATGTTAAATGTATATATCTGAGGACTAAACCAAATGCAAGTTCTCGTTCAATCTATGTTCGGTATTTATTCAGGAGAGACGAGCAAATTGTTTGACGTAGCTTTAGGCATTTATAGAGCGTGTAGCAAATTGTTTGACGTTGGATGGCTTTAGGCATTTATAGAGCGTGGAGAAAATTGTTTGACGTAGGATGGCTTTAGGTATTTATAGAGCTTTGAGCAAATTGTTTGACGTGGGATGGCTTTAGGTATTTACAGAGCTTTGAGCAAATTGTTTGACGTAGGATGGCTTTAGGTATTTATAGAGCGTGAAGCAAATTGTTTGACGAAGGATGGAGTTAGGTATTTATATAGCGCGGAGCAAATTGTTTGACGTAGGATGGAGTTAGTTACTTATCTAGGGTGGAGAAAATTGTTTGACGTAGAGTTGATTTGAGTATTTATCTAGGGTAGAGCAAACTGTTTGACGTAGGATGGAGTTAGTTACTTATCTAGGGTAGAGCAAACTGTTTGACGTAGAGTTATTTAAGTATATATCTAGGGTAGAGCAAACTGTTTGACGCAGAGTGGAGTTAGTAATTTATCTTGGGAGGAGCAAGTTCTTTGACATATGGTGGATTCAGTTATATATCTAGGGTGGACCAAATTGTTTGACGTATGGTGGAACAACTTGTTTAATTGCCTGACGGGAGAATTAGATGTTTAAAAGTTTTATTGAGGTTGGAGTCAGAGGTTCGTGTAGGGCGGAGCAAAATATTTGCTGAGGGGTAGAATATATTTTTTTTTCCCAATTAACAGATTTAAATAGCTTGAGAAACCAAAAAAGCTTGAAATCACAATCAGTCTTTGAGAAGTTTTCTGCTATGATGACACAAAGGACCTCTGCCTGCTTCACATTAGCTTATCTAGTATCTAGTATCTACAGCCCAAAATTTTCAAGGATCTTTTCAGATGTTATAGAGAGTTCAACAGCAAGTTTCAATTTTTTTGCAACAGGGTGATAAAGTAACTTTATCGACCTGCTATTAAACAAGAAGAGTAAAATTGATGAAAAAACTCTATATGTTGTTATTGTAATAGGTGTCAGGCGTGCGAAAAAATTTTCCTGGGATTTTTATCTACTCTAGTTTTTTTTCCATCAAAATGAATCAAGAAAAGTAAACATCCCTGTTTAGCTTTTTTGCACTTGATAATACCCATTACAATGACATAAATAGATAATATTTTTCACAATGTAACCTATCTCGCAAAAATTCAAGCATTAGCAGAAAAAATAACTTATTGGAGGAGATTTTTCATCAAAAAATATGTTTTAACATTTAACAATGGAACTTGAATTTCGATATTTGTCTTATCTTCAGAGGAACTGCGGCCTTATATTTCTTCATTTTTGCAACTTTTTTCAAAACATTAAACTAAAAACTGACTCAGGTACCAGAAAGAACAATAAAGAGTAAAACTCTATGAAATCTTCGAAAACCTTGCTAAATAATTCAACCATTGTTTTCTGTTGATTAGGTTGGTTTGTATAATAGAGAATTTCAAGTGAACCTGGTTTTTAAGAGAAATGTGCTTGATCTACACCGGTACCTTTTAAACTTTCAGTTGAGCAAAACTCTTGAAGAGAATCTTCATTTCCTTTCTGAAAACTCAGAATTTTCAACTGTGGTTTCTCATAAAGTGAATTTAAGGATTTATTCAGCAGAGACAAAGAAAGAAAGAAATAACAACGACAAAATCTTCCTCTATGCTCACTGCTCAGATAACGGATGAATGGGTACCGTTGTGAATCGGGGACATAACTATACTTTAAATTATATCGATACTTCAAGGGTGGNATCATTAACAACATTTTATTTTCATTTAGATTGTTTTCAAATTTCAGAGAGGAATCAACCGAGTGTACACTGTACACGTCAATTCTAATTTATTTTCAGGCACAGCTTCAGTTTGAAATTTTATAAGGATAGACAGAAAATTGCGTATTTTTTTAGGATGGATCTGCTGAAAAGCGCAAACTTGCCGCGTCAGATGACGTTGACCCGAAAAAGTCTCGTAGCTCTGAAGGAATATACATAAGATAATTTTTTAAGTCTTCTCTTTTTTTTCTGAAGGGTCCACCCTGAAAATTAAACTACTTTGTGGGGCCTTAAAATAGTTAAAAATTATAATTTACAAAATAGTTCTTTGAGTTATTGGGGGGAGGAGGCAAGGGGGGGGGGGGGTATTAATTCTTAAAAATAAATACCCGATCCTGAATAAACTGATTAATTCAAATGGAAACAAAATTAAGAGAGAAACAAAATTAAGAGATAAACTATCTTAAAATTCTAATAATAAAGATATTAGTTCAGTCTTGAGGTTCTTGTGACGTGAAAAAAATTATATTTTGATCTCTCAATTAAAGTATATCCCTATTACATAGAAGATGAGTTGATGTCACATTTTTAACAAAATTTTCATGTCTTTTTCTAGAAGAAGTGAATAGAAAATATTCCCTTATTCTTTTTATTCAAAACTTTTAACGATTCATTTTTCTTTTGACACATTTTTATTAATTCAACCATACATGAAAAGGGATCAGAGTTAATTAATGCGGAGTTTTTACACAGGTTTTTTGTGTCAATCTTGAATACATAATCTTGATATTTGATTTATGATATTTGCTTGATTCCTCAATCAATTAAAGTTATCCTGCAGGGTATGAGCACCACGGGATATCGAAGAAAATATAAATTAGTCCGTTGGTCTGCAACCTGCGTTAGATCAGATTTTCTTGCTCCTTGTGCTGCATCAAATTTGATTAGACAGAAAAAAAAAATATTTTTTTTTCATGCTTCAATGGGGACCTGACTGAGGGGAGGAAGGCCAGCCACAGCAATTTCTCGTCCGAGCCATATTCTCATTTTCTTGTCCGAGCCACCTCGAAATCCTCGTCCTTCGCTTATTATGTGTTTTTAAGTTTCTAAATCTTGAAGATAAAGCTATCTTCTAAAAATCAGGCCACGTTAGGGCATAACATATGGATAGACTTAAGTATTGCAATGATTACATCATGTTGAAATTTTCAAAGCCATGAGAATGATGTCAAACTTTATTTGGGTGAAACTTAAATCTCTTCTTCCTCCGTAATGGCTAACCTTCATGATACAAAATAGCAAAATATTCGGCATACCTCTGCCTACAATTTTCCCCATGGAACCACCCGAAAAAATTCTATGGCTTCCGCTAAAATTAACAAAAAAAAAGATCAAAGTTTTATAAACTTGGAATTATTTGCGGCATTCTATACCTAGATGATCTGAAAATGCGCGTAAGAAAGGTGAATATTTTTCAGGACATTGTACTCAAAAACTTAAATTCTATTGAAAGTATTTTTTCTATTTACAAAAATTTAATATTTCGGTAATGCTCTAACGTGACCGGATTCCTAAAAAGTTGTTTTATCTTGGAGAATTGAACACTTGAAAAAGATAATATTGGAAGGACGAGGATTTCGAGGTGGCTCGGACGAGAAAATGAAGAGAATGTGGCTCGGGCTAGAAATTGCTGTGGCTGGCCTTCCTCCCCTTCCTGAATAGTGTATAAATTGCTTTAAAACCAAATCCGCTAGAACTCATTTAAAAATCTTGTATTAGATGTAAATTTCGTTCCGGGGTTTCTGTTTACACTTCACAGGGTTGTTAAAGATAATTTTACAATTTTTCAATAATTTTCATAAATTTTGTAACCTTGAGAAATATTTTGATTTAAAGAGTACAACTATGTATTATTCTCAGATGGAAATAAAAACATATTTCTGGCGAAGGTGGTTCAACTTAAAAAACCCACGGACAAGACTAATCGTAAGGTAAGGATGGATTTAAAAATACCACTTGCTTTTCATGATAAACGTAGGAGTTGAGAGAGTGTTCAAATNCCCAGGTATGGTGATAAAGAAACACGTGAAAATCTTCTTTGATTTTTATTGTTTCGACTGTCGTCCAAACAAGCTCTCTTAAATATTGCCGGATGGAACTACATAGTTTAACTACTTCTCTCCTATTCAATATTTATAATTTCCGACCTCAAGTTCTGCCATTTTTCGGTTTAACCTGCACAGAAAAAAGTTGCAATACTAATAATCTTTTGTTAATGCATGGATTATCTAAAACCCTGAACCTTGCTTAGAAATTAGAAGTTGATTTACAGTCTGAGGGGACTCTTCCAACATTTAAAAATGTTTGAATTAAGTGTTTTATATTTTAAATGATTTTTAAATAGATATTTTTAATTTTAATTTAATGTTTTAAAAACGATTTGAAATTGTTTCCAGGTTGTTCACGGGATCATGGAGGTGCTTGAAGGGGAGTTTAAGGGGTTAAGGGGGTTCTTCCAGGGCTCCAACGGATATGTTTGGGGACACTCCTTGTCCCGGGCAAACCTGATGTATAACATAAGACCAGGGGATGTTTTCACGGTGGAGGTAGGTCATTGACAACCATTGTGTTATTGTATTATTGTATCCTTGTATTATTGTGTTATTGTATCATTGTTTCATTGTATTTATTTATTATTATATCATTGTGTCATTGTATAAGTGTCACTGAATTATTGTATCAATGAATCATTATATCCTAGTATCCTAGAATCAATGTATCCTTGTATCATTGTATAACTGTATCATTGTATAACTGTGTCATTGTATCATTGTATAATTGTATCATTGAATATTTGTATCAATGAAACATTGTATCATTGTATCATTATGAAATTTAATCATTGTATCATTGAATTTAATGAATCATTGTGTCATTGTATCATTGTATCATTGTATCATTGTATTCATTGTATTCACTGTATTCATTGTAACCATTGTTACCATTGTAACCATTGTATTCATTGTATTCATTGTACTCATTGTATTCATTGTATTCATTGTATTCATTGTATTCATTGTATTCATTGTATTCATTGTATTCATTGTATTCATTGTATTCATTGTATTCACTGTATTCATTGTATTCACTGTATTCACTGTATTCACTGTATTCATTGTATCCATTGTATCCATTGTATTCATTGTAACCATTGTATTCATTGTATTCATTGAATCATTGTAACCATTGTAATCATTGTGTAAATTAATCATTGAATCATTTTATAAATTGTATCATTGCATCATTGCATCATTTTATTCATTGTATCATTCTATCATTTTATCATTGTATCATTGTATCATTGTGTCATTTTATCATTATATCATTGTATCATTGTATCATTGTATCATTGTATCATTATATCATTATATCATTGTATTCATTGTATTCATTGTATTCATTGTAACCATTGTATTCATTGTATTCATTGAATCATTGTAACCATTGTAATCATTGTGTAAATTAATCATTGAATCATTTTATAAATTGTATCATTGCATCATTGCATCATTTTATTCATTGTATCATTCTATCATTGTATCATTGTATCATTGTATCATTGTATCATTGTATCATTGTATCATTGTATCATTGTGTCATTGTATCATTGTGTCATTGTGTCATTGTGTCATTGTATTATTTTATTATTCTATTATTATATTGTATTATTATCGTCATCTCCAAGATGGGGGGTTTTCAGATCGCTCACTTATCTTACCATTGTATCATTTCCAATATAAATATACTCCTGATGTACAAACACATGTACATACACAAGTACAATACAGTAAATATGCAGGCGTACCGGAAGACTGTAACATCTGTGTACGGGAATGTAACAGATACCCAGGATATTCCTCTAGTATTCAAGAAATGCTGGCTAGCAATTCAGGTAATACACGCTAGGAACACTGTACAGTGTAAAGTAACTCTGTACAGTTAGTTTACTACAAGTGTACGGCAAGTTTAAGGTAAATTACGTTATGTTACGGCAAGTTTCCAGCAATGCTGCAGCAAGTTTGCAGTAAATTCAAAATTATTTCTTGAGCAAATAGGATTTAGAATTATTTGAAACGAATAATATTTTTGTCTTAATTAAATTGATACAAAATTATCCGAAGAGGATTTTCTATCAAATACAGATTTATCAAATTGATTAATTTCACTGCGTGGAGGTTTGTTGATGATGTTGGTTATATTATTTTCTAACTTGCATAAGGAGTGTTACGAGTAACCACGAGGTATCATCAGAAAGTATTAAGGTAGCGGCCACACTCTGTTACTCGCGAATGCCTAAATAAATTAAAAGGAGGAGATTAGTATATATGTTATGGTTAGGTTAAGACACTTTTTGGGCTGCACGCTGCGTCTAGGTCAGGCTATGGAGCCGAGCGCCGCGGCTAGGACAGGCTAGGGGGCCGAGCGCCGCGATTAGAACTGATTTTCACTCTTGCGGCATTCGCGAGTAACAGAGTTTGGCCGCTGCCAAGTATTAAAGGGACTAAAGATGTAATTCTAAGTGACCCTCTATTTATACAAATTAATTTGATCGATAATGTGGAAAAATATTTTCGTTTTTATAGATTAAAAAATTAAAGATTAAAAATTTCCCTCCTCAATTAAAAAATCATCTTTTTAAAATGAAGAAATGGAAATCTCATTCCTTCCTTTTTGAATCTTGATAATTTGAATTTTAATAGTACCGTTGTGAATTCGACATGTGAAATTATGTCCACAGTCCCTTATTCTTTTTAACTATATCCATGAAATAGAGAACTTAAATTAGGAAAATTTAACAATTCATTTTTATTATATATCCAATATTATCTTTCTAAATATGGAAGTTCTTCAAATTTATTACTCCACGGTTATACTAAAAATGATTCCTGGTCATGATAAAAAGTAATTTATAAATGTATAATTTCTTTTAACTTCAAATTTGACATTTTCAAGCTTTTTGTTTTCGGTTTTCATATTCAATTAACGTGAAGTTTGATATTTACTTGACATTTAAGAAATTTGACATCACTAATTGTGATGAATTGTTCTCAATAATATTTATATTTAACGATAACATTAATGATGATTAAAATTATGATATTAGGACGCGTGGATAAGTTTCGTTGGAATTTTGGTCAAATGGAATAATTCATTTTAGAAACTGATGAAAAGAATGTGGTGGTGGGGGGCATCATGTTGATTTGGGGGAGGTTTATTTATTATATGATCAGTTCAGTTATTTTTTAAAATTTTTATTTTTATTATGATATTTTTGATGGCTTCGACTTTTTGCAAAAAGTATTTTTAATGGAGTTTTGTTTTAAACATTTAAAATCTCTTTGAACGTTTTTTTGACTCAATCCTATAAAAAGTTGTCTCTTTCGCTTTTTGTTAATGTGCACCGTGCACCAATTATTTCAGATTTGGTTAGCTTAAAATACATTGTAAAAGTTGGGGGGGGGGGGAGGGGGGGTTGTTGATGGGAAATTAACCATTGTAAATATTGTAGAGCGAGGAGCCTCAGACTAGTTCAGAGAATGTCGAGTTCAGTTCCTGGCTTTCTGATCGAGATCTTACAGAACACGAGTTCAAAAAGTGGATTCAAGACAGGGATACAATCAATCAATCAACTGTTTGATCAATCAATGAGTAATCTTTCTTATATTCAGTATTCGATCTTGTTTCCAAATCTATATTCGATTTATTAATCAAGAGTTAATCAATCAATCTATTCTGGATCGATAGATTTTAATTTGATCTAAATTTGTTGTGTGTCCCTCCTCCTGTACAATTTTTTAACTAGTTTTAGTTTCAATCTTATGTTTTTTTTTCAGGGGTGTATAGTGTAAGCTGTATATTTTCTTGTAAAATAATTTCAGGGGTGTGTAGTGTAAACTGTATATTTTCAGGGGTGTATAGTGTAAACTGTATACTTTCTTGTAAAATAATTTTCCCCCTCTGATAAAAAATAATGTTGTCCCCCAGAAGTAATGTTTGTTTGCGCTGAGCGTCAACAATATTTTTAGGGTTTTCCTCCTTGTAGTTGTATCAGAGAAAATAAATAATTTTGGGGGAAAAAGTTTAAAATAGAGTAAAACTTGCCTTTTGACGTCCAATTTTTTATCCCCCCACCNGAGTTTAATTATTTTTGATTATACACCCCTGCTTCGTTGATGTACTTTCGCCGAATAATTGGTTGATTGATTGAATGAATGATCAGGTTACCCCCTAAACCTTATTTCCCTCTACAATCCGAAGTATACGAGGGCGAGCTGGTCAGCCTGATCAGAGATACTCCTAAGGAAACAAAATGTGATCAAATTTATTGCTTAGCACTTAATTTTTATGACATTATTGGTCCGAATGATTATTTGCTTACAATTTACTTGTATTTGCTTGGTCCGACTGTTTATTTGCTTGTATTTACTTGTATTTGCTTGGTCCGACTGCTTATTTGCTTGTATTTAAAAGTATTTGCTTGGTCCGACTGTTTATTTGCTTGTATTTACATGTATTCGCTTGGTCCGATTGTTTATTTGCTTGTATTTACATGTATTTGCTTGGTCCGACTGTTTATTTGCTTGTATTTACATGTATTTGCTTGGTCCGACTGTTTATTTGCTTGTATTTACATGTATTTGCTTGGTCCGACTGTTTATTTGCTTGTATTTACATGTATTTCCATGTATTTACATGTATTTGCATGTATTTACATGTATTTGCTTGGTCCTACTGTTTATTTGCTTGTATTCCTAAGAAATCTAACGAAACAATTTCAATGTAAGCAAAATTTCTGGTGAAATTAAATCTGTTGGAACCTTCTGTTATAATTAACTGTTTTGATTTAATTGAAGCATTTGTTGGATAAGTTTTTCTAAATAACCTCCCTTTCTCTCTCTAGGTGTCCCCAACCTCCAGTCCTGTTTCCCGAAATCCCGCCTACCCGTATTTTCAATTTCATCTGAATAAACGCCCACTTAAATCACTTATACTCGGTAATTCTTCAGTTATTTTGGTTAAAGGGAATATAGACGTAGTTACATGTGATCCTCCATTTATAGAGTGCCATGTCCAATTCACAACTGTACCGGTTTCACCGTCTGGTCTAAGATGAAACGATGGGAGGAAGTCCAGCCACAACAATTTCTAGTCCGAGCCACCTCGAAAGTCCTCGTCCTTCTAATATTATTGTTTAAAGTGTCTAATCCTCCAAGATAAAACTTTTTTTTTAATCTGGCCACGTTAGGGCATAAATGAAATATTGAATTTTTTTAAATCGGAAAAAAACAGTTTCAATTGAAATAAAGTTTTTGTGTTCAATGTCTTTGAAAATGTTCACCTTTTGTAGAATGCCGCAAATAATTTTCGAGTTTATCGAGCTTTAATCTTTTTAAATAATAATCGTGAAAACCAAAGAATTTTTCCGGGTGGTTCCTTGGGAAAAATAATAGGCAGAGGTATGCCAAATATTTTGCTATTTATTCTTTACCGCGTAGGTTAACCATTACGCGTAGGCAGACGAGATTTAAGTTTTGCCTAAATGAAGTTAGACATCATTCTCATGGCTTGATGAAATCATTGCAATACTTCAGTCTACTCATATTTTATGCCCTAGCGTCGCCAGATATTGAAAAAATAATCTGCAAGAATTAGAGGCTTTATAACCAAAATAATAGAAGGACGAGGATTTCAAGTTGGCTTGGGCGAGAAAATAAGGAGAATGTGGCTCGGACTAGAAATTGTTGTGGTTGGCCTGCTTCCCTTCATGAAGCAGATAACCTTTCTTATTAATTACTTTAAATCGTAGTTTCTCTATTAAAGTGACACGCAAGCACTTTTGCAAAAGACGATAAAAATTAAATAGGTAATCCGTGGCCGAATTTAAAGAATTTGAGCGGCGGTTTAAATTTAAGCTGCGGCACAACACTTGACTTTTTAAATGACACTATCTATACTCTAGATACAGTCCCATCAAATCTTATAAATAGATTTTAAAACTCAAAAGTTTCCTTTTTTTATTCTTGTAAATTTTTCTAAATTAAGGCATAAATACTACATCATAATAGAAGATTTTTTAATTCAGGAGTAAAGTTTTAAAATGCTCAAACTTTTCAAGATAATTCCTGACTAATTTAATTTCTCGCTAGTCGCTACCATTTCGGTTTTTGGAAACACAAATCCAAAATGTTTCCGAAGAAAAAGTCACTATAGGAGGAATTTATAAAAACTATATGACAAAATTTATTTTCTTTTTTTCATATTAAATTTTGTTTGAAAAGTGTGAGGGTGGCCTTGTAAAGATAGTTGACGGATCTCTCAAGGATAAAACTGTTCTGTTTGAACGTGAAGATTTCTATGTTTGCGGAGTCCATGTAGGATCAGCTGATCTGAGAATGCTGCTCAGGCCGGGAGATAAAGTATCTCTACAGGTATATAATAAACATTTGATTTGACGGCTGAGGTCGGGGGGTATAATTAACAGGTATAATACAGTATATCTCAAACACATGATTTACCTTCGTAAGCTGGGGGATAAATTATCTCGACAGGTATGTAAAATAAACAGATAATTTAACAGCTTAGGCTGAGTATAAAGTATTACTACAGGTATATAATACACATTTGATTTACGTTGATACGTTGATAGTTTCTCCGCCAAGGTCCTGCATCATGCAAGAATGAAGTGGCGGGTCAGGTCATCATTTGTTCTTCTGGATCCATGGCTGCATTTCTATGCTCATCATAACTGTTTTTAAAAGCATATAGGGTCATGGACCCCTTTACTGCCTCAGGCAGTTGGTTCCAGCCTTTAACAACTCTAATAGAAAAAAAGTTTTTTCTTATGTCCAGGTTTGTTCTCTTCATCTCCAGGTTGAATATAGATGAATTTAACCTTGTGCTAACTGTAGAGGCTGACTTTAACCTAGTAAACCAGGTTTTTTTCGCAAACATCATCATGCTGGTGCAATATATTCCAGGTTTGTATCATGTCACCTCTTCTTCTCTCCTCTAGGGAGGATAAGCCTAATTCTTTCAGCTTGTCTTGGTAGGTTCCTGGCTTCAGTCCTGCTGTCATTCTCACAGTATCCTTCTGGTTCCAGGGTGACCATGCTTGGACAGCATATTCTAGATTAGGTCTCACATAAACTTTGTACAGTCTTATCCAATTGTACTTGTCTCGGTATGTAAAAGATCTAGACATTTGTCCTACTAGCTGGTTTGCTTACATTGCTTCAGATTGACATTGACTTGAAGGTTTCAATGTATTAGAAATCTTCACTCCTACATCCTTCTCCTCATCTACAGACTCCCACACTGTACCACCGGGAGCAAAACCATGCATTGTGTAGGTGAAATGATTATTTCTCCCACCAACATGCATAACTTTACACTTTCTAGAATTAAATTTCATTGACAGATCATCAGACCAGTCACAGAGAGTATTTATAACATTTTGTAGAACTATAGAATCAGTTTCATTGTTAACAGGCATACCAACTTTAGTATCATCAGCAAATTTAGATAATAACACTGGATAGTCTTGAAGATAGATGTCTAAAGTATTAATAAAGATGACAAACAGGGTTGGCCCGAGCACTGACCCCTGGGGTACTCCACTAGTAACAGGTAGCCAGTTAGAGTACTCCCCATTTAACACAACTCTTTGTTGTCTATCAGACAACCATTCTTTTATCCAACCTTTTATATGTCCTTTTGACGGCTTAGGCCAGGGGATAAAAGTATCCCGGCAGATATATAAAATAAACAGTTGATCAAATATGGGGGCTTTGAGTGAAGATTTTAATGGTAATTGAATAATAATTAAATAATAGTAATAATAATGACTAGATAAAGTGAAATTTTAAAAACACCGAAAAAAATTAAAGCTTTTTAGCCCATTTCACCTCAAGGTAGCCCATGGGTTTCCTTAAAAAATTTCAGCCGATTTGGTCCAACCGTTTGGCCAGCTCCAGCTAACATATATTTAAATATGAGCGAAGAGCTTTATTTTATAATGGTATTCATGTAATTCTAGGTGCAGTTTATGACAGGACGGGAAAGGCAGTTGAAAGGAAAGAAATATCCTGTAATAGAAGAACAAGAAGTTAACTACACAGCTCTACTAGCTTTTATAGGTATATATATGGGAGGTTAGGTTTATAGGTATATATTGGAGGATAGGTTTATAGGTATACAATTATGCATTGGAGAATAGGTTTATAAGTTTACATGGGAGGATAGGTTTATAAGAAAACATGGGAGGATAGGTTTATGAGAAAACATGGGAGGATAGGTTTATAAGTATACATGGGAGGATAGGTTTATAAGTATACATGGGAGGATAGGTTTATAAGTACTCATGGGAGGATAGATTTATAAGTATACATGGGAGGATAGGTTTATAAGTATACATATATGGGAGGATTGGTTTATGAGTATACATGGGAGGATAGATTTATAAGTATATATGGGAGGATAGGTTTATAAGTATACATGGGAGGATAGATTTAGAAGTATACATATATGGGAGGATAGGTTTATAAGTTTACATGGGAGGAGAGGTTTATAAGTATATATGGGAGGATAGGTTTATAAGTATACATGGGAGGTTTATAAGTATAAATATATGGGAGGATAGATTTATAAGTATATATGGGAGGATAGGTTTATAAGTATACATGGGAGGATAGATTTAGAAGTATACATATATGGGAGGATTGGTTTATAAGTATACATGGGAGGATAGGTTTATAAGTATACATGGGAGGATTGGTTTATAAGTATACATGGGAGGATAGGTTTATAAGTATACATATATGGGAGGATTGGTATATAGATATGTAATTTGGAGAATACTAGAATAGAATTAGTATATATGAAGTTGTTTATTTTTCCCTGTCTGCCAAACACAGATAATTTTAAGGAAAAATTCATGATCAAAAATAAGCTTGTTAAAAAACTTGATTTGAAATCAATTACATACTTAAGTGAGAACTTTTCAATTCTAAAACCTTTAATCAGATCAGACTAAAATCCAATAAAAAATTAGATGTTATCAACTTTAGATAATTGGTTCTTCTTTTTTCTATATTTTTTCTCATTTTTTTATTTACGGACAATCAATTATGATTGATACTTTGGCTTTTCTTTAAATCAATTTGAAAGACCTTTTAATGAGAAGGTAGGAAAATCAAATAAATAACACGATTGTTTAATGCATATTATTCTTGTAAGAAATTGGCTGTCAGGCTTTTTTTCCGTTATTAATTTTTTTTTCAAATAAATTAGTACCTTGTGAGGCCCCAATCTTTTTTTAAGAATTCACCTAGTTTATCTTCAGCAGTAACTAAACATTTCTAATATTGAATTGCTTTATTTTTGTAGCTATAATCGATTTTTAAATTTTATTTCATTAAGAAGTTGCTAGCGGATTAATGCTACAGAAGCAACGAAGGAAATCAACAGACACTTATTAAAAGACAAAACGACGATAATTTCTTAATTGTTACTTCAATAGAAGTTAAAGGTTACTTTTTGAGACAAGGGGTCTCACTTGAAATTACGACTATATAGTCAATTATTTTTTTAAATGCGCTAATAAAATCAGAAAATCTACGAAAATTTAGTTCATTGCAAAGAACGATGAGAAATGGCGACTTGGAACAGCAACAGTTTGAAGCTAAAATTGTTCAGTCCATTATTTATAAATGCACAAAATTAAGTCTTTTTTCTTAGTTCTTTAACTTTTTACTTGCAGGAAGCAAACGGCCTCGAGGACCGAAACAGCTGTCGAAAGAATCCACAGAACTTCGAGATTTTCTCGAGAAACTTGGTTTAGATGTCGAGGAATTCGATGGAATGAGATCAGCAGAGCTCGAAACCACGAGCTCCGGGGCCCAACAACAACAAGGTTTTAAAAGTAGTTAAAGGGAGGGCGGGGGGGGGGGTATCATGGTTATATTTCACGAGAAAAAATGATCTTATCCCTTCAGAGCTGAAAACTTTAGAATAGGATATCCTTAATCCCGATCGCTTAATCTGAGTATCCAATTGACACACTTTTGATTTTCTTCTTAATCCTCTCCTTTTAAATATCCTTACTGTTCACATACCAATTTTCTGTCCATAACATTAGAGCATTTGAATGAAATAAAAATTCATTACGTTCAAATAGATTTATTTTAACATTAGTCCAAATGAACATTAGACCAAACTTGCGTTGGTTCAATCGAACATAAGTCCAATTGGTATGACGCCTAAAGTACAGGCCAATCAAGAACCGGCTTTACAAAATTAGATAGCTCCTTTCTCCCGTATCTTTACTTTTAATTTTAAATTTCCCGGCTTTTAGTACGCCACTCTGATTGGTTGAATTTTATACACTTTTCAGGGATACAAACACAAGATTAGGTTAGTCTCGAGCTTAAGAGAAAGTGAGGATCGATATCCATTATTCTAAAGTTTTTTTCAGCTTAGGTCGTTCACGGGGGGGGGGGTCAAATCTTAATAAGATAATAGACATATATCCCTGCAAATAAACTAATCATCCAACCATCCAACCAATCTCTTATTTAAACAACTGCCTAATCAACTAACCAACCAATCTACAAATGGATAAAAAGAGCAATAATGTGATATTGACCAACCATCTCTAGTATCAATTTACCTATATCAAATAGATGAATCGACAAAATAAAGTAATCAATTATCCAATTAACCAATCAAGCAAATAACTAATTAAGTAATAAACCATCCAATTGTTTATCAAATAAGCTAACAAAGCAATGATGTTCTAGGAGGTATTGGTGGTGTGAGCTCTACCCAATCCCACTCAAGCTCCCAATATCCTCCTGGGAGCTATGGTATACCCTCCCTTCTCCAACTCCCTCCATTTTATGGAGCCGCTATCACAGCTTGGAGCCCTCACATGCCAGTTCCTTCAGATATACCTCCGATGGGTGCTGGTCAATTGGAGCAACTGGCGAAATGTGGAGTAGTTATTGCCAGGTACTACCAACTTAATTTAGTACATGGACTCCTAGAAGAAGTTATTGCCTACCCCCACTTCATTTAGTACATGGACTCCTAGTAGGAATAATTCCCAGGTACCCCCACTTCATTTAGTACATGATCTCCTAGTAGAAGTAATTGCCAGGTACTCCCACGTCATTTAGTAGATGAACTCCTAGTAGGAGTAATTGTCAGGTACCCCCACTTCATTTAGTAGATGAACTCTTTTAACCAAATTTCTTGATTTACTTCTTTTAATTTTTATTATGTGTTTTGAACGGAGGTGTGGGTGGGATTTATAACGGATTAACTCTCCAACCTCTCTCTCGCCTACAATACACTTTTAATATTAAAAATATAATTTTTAATGGTTGTTAATGTTCCCCAACTCAAGTGACAAGACAAATATAGTCAGAAATACAGACAAACATAGACATACATACAGACGAATATAGACTTATATACAGACAAATATATACATATTTACAGACAAATATAGTCAGATATACAGAAAAATATAGACATATATACAGACAAATATAGACAGATATACAGACAATAAGACAGATATACAGACAAATACATACATATATGCAGACAAATATAGACATATATACAGAAAAATGTTGACAGATATACAGACAAATATAGACAGATATACAGACAGCCAGATATACAGACAAATATTGACATTTATTTGAAGAGCTATCGTCGTGAACCAGTTGAAGGAGGAGACTGGGAACATCATCAACGTCGGGGAGATCATCGAGACAGAGGAGGATGTCGAGAACGCGATTAAGATGGGCAAATGGCTCACAGAAGCGATTATTGCTAAGATGCAGACTCACTTACAGGCGAGCAATCGAGAATATATTCTCTCTGCATAGAATATACTTATAGTCCAAGATTTTTATCTTTTTATTAAAATGTAGTAGGGGAGTTCGAATTGCAACCTTTTTAAACATTTTAAAATACAAAAATTGCAATCTTTCTCGCATTTTTTAATCCAAATTGTAACCTTTTTCATAGTTTTACATCCTTAATCACGGAAATTTGTTACTTGGATTCAGGTCAAGTCTAATTATATAGTTGCATGTCCTATTCACAACTGTATCCTTCAAATATGTGTCGGAGCAAAACTTCAAAAGGGACAGAAATATTTGTCTCTATTAAAAATTATCAAATTGGATTTGTGCGTAAAAAAAGGAACGAAATTTAAATTTTTTTTCTGAAATTAAAATGACCCTTGTAAATCGGCCAAGTAACTAATTTACAAGATGACCACTCATGAAATTACGAAATTTCCTGTCTCTTAACACATTACGGAGTCATACTGCAGAATTAATTGTAACATAATATTAATCTTTTTAATCAAAAATATGTACAAAATACTAGATAATTTGCATTAGATTTCATCGTTATGCACAGTCATTTTAAATTTGCAAAATTTGGTGCATCTAAAAGTAACCCCTCTAGATTATCATAACTATTTAATCATAATTTTTTAAAATTTGAGTTTTTGTTTCCACCCTAGGACAAAGTTAAGACTAAGCTGGGTCCAAACTTTGGCAGCATTCTCTCAACTCAGAAGAAACAAATTGAGGTAGAAAATATTAACATTTCGAGGATTTTCTTGATTTTCAAATAATAAATAAAAAGTGCATAAATCCCAAGAAATATGAGTGTAACTTCAATAAAATAATATGTACTGCAGTTTCTGGGAGGAATGTAAACAAAGCTTGGCATCACTGTGTGTGTGTGGTGTTTATGTTTACCTCCCAGAGCCCGAAATTGAAAAGAGTATCGTTGGGACAAAACTCCCGAGTTTCCTTTTCGGGGTCTTAATATTTGTGTAGATTTTTATTTAAGAGATTCGAAAAAAAATTGAGAATATAAAACAAACTCAATAAAATAATATTTCGTAAGAAAAATATTGATATTTACAAAACTGACTTGACACCATTCGTGAAAACCGGGTTTTAAAACTGGTTTTAAGAACGATACCCTGTCTCAAGTTTTGGGCTCTGTATGAAACTGCAGTACACATTTGTTCATGGTAGTTTCTCTCATTCTTTGATTAATCCCCAACACTTGAGGGATCTTTGGTCTCAATTTTACTCCTTTGTTTTTAATCTTTTTTAAAACATATTTATTTTTTATTTAAATTTTAACAATTTAAAACAAAAATTTTAATCTAAATCTTAAACCAGGCTGCTGTGACTGCTATGACCCCTCAAGTTCAGCCACCTGGGCACGGTCAAGGTCAAGGTTATCCTGATGGTCAACAACAACCTGTTGTTGACTCTGCAACACTGAGTCTGATAGAACAGCAGAATATTGCTAAGAAGCTTCTGGAATCTGATAAACGAGCTGTGAAACAGGTGGGCCTAGTAGCCCCTAACAGACCTTTGCATGTTAAAGTCTTTGGGGAAATTTTTTTTTCAGATGTTTCAAATGATCAAGTAAACCCTGATAGGGGGGGGGGAATAAACGTTTTTTTAGGAAAATAAATGATTTTTTCAAACTCAAATTATTTTCCCTTGTTCTAAAATGACCATTGACCACCCCTTTCAATATAGCTAGATTTTATAACCTCTAATCTTTTCTATATTTAGATGTTACCGGATCTTAAATACTCTATGGATGCTTCAGGAAAGGATAGAAGGTAAAATCTTGTTAATTTTAGTTTTTTTGAATGGGAAAACGTTCTGGTTAAAAGCCAGTAAAATCCATTATAATGCCCCCCCCCCCCCACTTCTCTTGTACAGCTGGATGTAGCGTATACAGGACTTTTTCCAGGTTGGTTTAATATTTAAATTTTTTCTTGGACAGTGGGCTCAAAAACTGTTTGGACCTGAAAACCTCCGGGATGACATAGTTTTACTTGGCTTTTAGGGCTCATCCCCCAAACAATATTTCCCTTCTGTCTAAATGTCGTCTTTTCCAGGAGACAACGAACCCCTGAGCTGGAACCTAGAGAACTAGAGGAAGAGATGGCAATGTCCCCCTTAGAGCTTATCAGGTTGGTTGGTTGGTTAATTTATTAATTGGTTAATTGGTTGGTGGGTTGGGTGGTGGGTTTATGGGTTGGTGGATTTGTTGGTTAATTGGTTGGATGGCTAAGTGATTTATTGGTTGGCTGGTTAGTTGATTAGCTGATTGATTTATTAGTTGGTTAGTTAGTTGATGAGCTGATTGACTTATTGGTTGGTTAGTTGGTTGATTAGCTGAGTGATTCACTGTTTGGTTAGTTAGTTGATTAGCTGAGTGATTTATTAGTTGGTTAGTTAGTTGATTAGCTGAGTGATTTATTGGTTGGTTAGTTAGTTGATTAGATAATTGAATAAATGGTGGATCGATTCATCAATTCATTATTATTTCTTTGATTGATCTTTTAATATATTACTTGAATGATTAATTGATTTGAATTTACATTTAGAAAGTATGTGATCCTGAAAAGAAGAATCCGGGAGGGAGGTTCAGATAAAACAATCGTATTCGGAGATCTCAGATATCCTAAAGTAACAATTTTACAAAATATATTTTTAGATTAATAGCGCAATGATATTCGCTTTCATAAATTAGTTTTAAATCCTTTAAATCGCTGATAAATGATTACAGACTAGAAGAAACTAAAAATATCATAGTATTAGTTTTTTGTTTTATTTTGCTTAATGGGACTGTAAGCATAATTTCAGGTGACCCGACGTGCCAAAATAGCAATTGCTGATTTACAACGGTTGACGTCGTTGGGTACATGTTGTAAATCAGGCACTGCTATCTTTGCATGGAGGGTCACTTGAAATTACGCTTATTATCATTTTAAACGGTTTCAATAAATCAGTAAGTTCGGTTTTTTATTTTTTAACACCCAATATCCCCTTCCCCCCCTCCTCCCCTTAAATCTTAAATCTAAAATAACTATTATTATTATTTGTCAGGATATGAAAGTGAACTTCCGTATAAGTAACAGCTACGAGTTGACGGGTGGACCTAAAGAGTATTACACTCTCGAGTGTTTATACTTCTTCGCCAGAAATTTAGAAACAGATCACTCCCTTTATGTTCGCAGGGTAAATATATTTTTTTCAGGGGTATTTATTTTATTGAAATCTCCCCCCCCTTCATTATAAGTTTTTTAAAGCTCACTTTGGGCAAATTTTATTAATTTTTTTGTTTACAGTGTCGTAAAGGGTTATAATTCAAGCGTTCATTAACTATATAGGACCAGTCATATTTTCTTCAATGGGAGAAAGCAAACTTTGAGAAAAATACTTTTCAAAAAAAAAATTTTTAAGAATTTAGCAGCCAACTTTTAAAATGAGGGTTTTAATTTCTTTAAAAAATTTTCCCCCCCCCCCCCCATCCCCCTCCTGTTTTGAAAATCTTTTTTTTGGTATGTTGAAGAAAAAAGCTTATTTATTTTCTCTGAATTGTGGATAATGAAAGATATTTAGTTGGAAGTAAATTATGAAAAAGGGTGAAAATATCTAAAACTTCCTCGGTGGATGTCCAGCTTTTCATTTTTCTCCAGAACATTTTAAATTATTCTTGAAAATATTTACTCCTATGTAAATATTTTATACATTGTCAAACCGATGCCTTAAAGGGAGCTATCACGGAAATGAAGGGCATACGTCGAATTGAGTTTGATTTGGATCGCAACTAATTTTACTTATATCTGTTACGTTTACAAGGAAAAAAATGGTCAAAAACGACAAATACCGAAGAACGTAGAACCCATTCAAATTTACGGAACTGCATTACTCCACTCAGATCGTGAATTATTCAATTTAATTTAAAACTTCTATTACAGCCTATTCAGTTTGATGCAACTGATAGAAGTATATATATATCAGCCTAAACCCCCTTTCATTTTTCGCGAACCCTCCCTTTAACGCTATTTATTCCAGGCTTTAACTGATGCTATCCCAGTTGTCCGTAAACCAGATAGAGATATTCTTATCCAGTATTTAACTGGAAAAATGGAGTTCTGTCCAAATGTTGAAAATATAACATTCAGGTAATTTTTTATTTTTAAGTTTCTTTCTTGATTCTGATCTTCTACCCCTTTTTATGATCTCTTCTCTCTTATAGATTCTTGATCTTCTACCCCTTTTTATGATCTCTTCTCTCTTATAGATTCTGATCTTCTACCCCTTTTTATGATCTCTTCTCTCTTATAGATTCTAATCTTCTACCCTTTTTATGATCTCTTCTCTCTTATAGATTCTAATCTTCTACCACTTTTTATCCTTTTCTTTGTCATAGATTCTGATTTTCTTCCCCTTTTTATGATCTTTTTCACTTAAAGATTCTGATCTTCTTCCCCTGTGAATGATCTTTTCCCTCATATATTTGATCTTCTACCCCCTTTTTATGATCTCATTCCCCCAGATATTCTGATCTTCTATCCCTTATTATGATCTTTCCCCTTATAGACTCTGATCTCTACCCCCGTTATTTTAGTTTTTTCACCTTAGATTTTGATGTTTTCTAATTGAGAATCTGTTTTTTTTCCTGTATTCCAATTTTTATAATCAATTTTATCAAGTACCTTTTTTAAATGATGGCGCTAAACAAGCTTATTTAGAATCTAAAATAAGTCATTTCCTCCCGATTGCAGGGTAGAAATTCACGAGTCATTTTTCGGAATAGCCACGCCTTTGAATTGTCCATTTTCCTTAACAGATATTTTCATATGTTCTGCTATTAGATAACTTGACAATCATCTTGACATCTTGTTTTAGTGAACTCAACCCTGGCATGGTTCTACCGGAGCAGAAGATCAGCTCCAGGAGGGAGCGGGAACAAGCGAGGGAGCCAAGGAGGGAATCTGTGGCTCCAATGGACTCCATATCTCAAGTAAGATTGTTTTCCTCTCTTCTTAGAAAAAGTATTTTGCTTCCGTTGGGTTGAGCCTGTTTTTATGTTTGTGTCAGTTATAATGGGACTATTAATGTAATATAAAGTGTTGCCGTAAGGTGTTCAGAGTACAGATTTGAATAGGTTATGGAGCTCTTTGAATTTGGTGTCACTTTAAACTACTTTTATATTTTTTAATGGAAGCAAACAACGATAACTATTTGTGGACATGGTGTATGGCGAAGAATGAACTAAAACTATTACTGATTACCCCTTGCCTTTTACAATCTACATATTTTGAATTGAAAATGTTCTTAATATTTCTTGAAATGATGTCTGTTTAGGCTATCCAGATAGTGTCTGAGAAGATGAGTAAGATAGATCCGGAAGCTGGAGAAAAGTGGAAGGAGGAGCCAGGAAGTGCCATAGAGAAATGGAAAGCTAAAAACAACCTGAACGACGTCGGAAACCGCCGAGACGGTGACGGCGGGGCCCGCCGGGACGGAAATCGGCGAAGTAACGAGAGGTCAAGATCAGATCAGCAACAGGGGTTCCCGAGTCGGATCAATCCGTTCGAAACTAATCCTGGTTTTAATCAGGATCAGTTTGCAGGCCAGAGGAAATCTAAATTTGATGAGCAGCCATTTCAAGTTGGCGGTAATCAGGCTCAAAATATGACAGGAAATGGGATTTTGGGCAATCCTGGATTCTCCGCAATGAATCCCGGAAATATGAACTTCAATTCCGGAAATATGAACATGAACATGATGCCTGGCAATATGAATCCAGGAAATATGAACATGAACCAGGGAAATATGCCAGGAAACATAAACCCCGGACAAATGAACATGAACCCCGGAAACATGATGAACCCCGGAAACATGAACATGAACCCCGGAAACATGAACATGAACCCTGGAAACATGAACATGAACCAAGGGAATATGAGCATGAACCAAGAGCGGCCTGGCTTAGGTCCAATGTTCACCCAGTCCTCTCAATCCAAACTTTGGTGAACATTTACTTTTCTGTACGCGGCATTCAAAACACGTGTAAATGCATAAAATAAGTTTCCTTTTGCAAACTTTGTTTCGAACAATTTTTACATTTGAGATAACAACACAACGTTTCCATAAAATTGTACTCTAACTGCAAATTAGCTTCAGAAAAATATAGTTTTCAATCCTTTTATCAAGTTAAATGTTTTTTTTTGTGTTTTAAGTTTTTTGTTTAATAAAGAAAAACTGTTAAACTGCCTCAAAGTAAAACCCCCCTTGTGAAGTATTTTATGGAACTAAATTTAAAGGTTTGTATTTTTACTGTATTGTATTAACTGAGCTGAAAACTTTAGAATGGTTTAAGGAATAAATTCATAATTTCATAAATATCCAGATTAAATATTGCTTGTTCTCCACATGAATTTAAACTCCAGTTTAATTATTCGACGGGATATCTGGATATTTCATTCTAAAGTTTTCAGCTCAGAATCATTAAGATGAGTGGGGGAAATTGATAGAAATATAAAGATGAGTGGGGGGAATTGATTGAAATATAAAGATAGTGGTGTAAATTATTGAAATATAAAAATAAGTTGGAGAAATTGATTAAATAGAAATATAAAAGTGAAGAAGGGAAAGAAATAGAAATATAAAAATTAGAGAGAGAAATAAATAGAAATATAAAAGTTAAGAAGGGAAAGAAATAGAAATATAAAAATTAGGGAGGGTAAAGAAATAAAAATATAAAATTGAAGGAGGGAAATGAATAGAAATATAAAGATAAGTGGGGAAATAAATTGAAATATAAAAGAGAAGAAGGGAAAGAAATAGAAATATAAAAGTGAGTGAGGGAAAAAATAGAAATATAAAGATGAGTGGTGGAAATTATTGAAATATAAAGATATGAGTGGGGGAAATTATTAAAATATTAAGATGAGTGGTGGAAATTATTGAAATATAAAGATGAGTGGTGGAAATTATTGAAATATAAAGATGAGTGGTGGAAATTATTGAAATATAAAGATGAGTGGTGGAAAT